TTTTAGTGGTAGGTTGGGTAGCTCATAGCCATGACCACAAACAATTTCATTGAATAATGAGAATTTTCGAAGTTAATGCAAGCCCCTGAAAATTCCCCGCATTTCGAAAGTTCTATTATTTCTTCTTCCCATGCTTTATTGAACCTACTATGCCATATCTTCCCAGTATTACTTTTTTCAAAAATGCCAAATAATTCCCCCCGTTTGAGAATGAAGAATTTCTCAGTGGGCGACTGATGCTGGTCAGCTCACTTACCAGGAAGGTCTTTCAGGGCGTGCCAAGCTTTTTGAAAACGGTCTTTTGCATGATATAGGGGCACATGCGGGAACCACAGAACCATGGTTAATTTTTCCTGAACGGCCCTCTGAATACCAGAAAAAGGGGTCCCTAGTTCGATTCCTCGTGGTGACAAGTTTTTGCAATTCGCGCAAAATGGAGTTAGCATGAATAATTAGCACTATATTCATGATTAGGACCGTCAGCAACCCGTACAAATAGACTTTGATTAAAAAACTGGTGAAAAAGGTGTGACACCACAGTGGGGCTGCTTGGTGTCACACCTCTTACACCAATTTTTAAGTCAAAGTCTTTTTGTAGGGTTACTGACGGTCCTAATCATGAATATGGTACTAATTATTCATGCTAACTCCATTTTGCGCGAATTTTGGAACGTCAACTCGAAATGCAAAAATTTGTCACCACGAGGAATCGAACTAGGGACCCCCTTTTCTGGTATTCAGAGGGCCGTTCAGGAAAAATTGAACATGGTTCTGTGGTTCCCGCATCTGCCCCTATATCATGCAAAAGACCGTTTTCAAAAAGCTTGTCACGCCCTGAAAGACCTTCCTGGTTAGTTCACTACAGTCATAAGACGCTATTGATGGCTTTAACAGGAAGCACAGACAACGGCAGAGCCTCTCTGATACCAAAACCTAGTTGAGTCTTTCTTATAGTACTAGCTAATTCCTCGTGTCGGAAATAGCAAAGACCTCGTTCAAGGAAGATTGGTCCATTACCTACCTTGATTCAGCATCACTAGCATGAGATCCATCATCATCATCCATATACAGAGCGCCAAAAGAGCGAAAAATTGTTAGTTTTTGTGTAACAATTCGGAAATCCTAAGAACTGTAGTGCGTTCGAATTCCCGTCGGACATCTGTCACAAATGCTGGCCTTGGGCACGTTTTCAGTTTTTTTTTTTGCGGAATGTCGTCACTAGAAACTATTTTTCCTTCTCATGGCCGAATGTGTATGTCAGTTCAGGAGTTCCTCAGTTATTCCTTTCAAATTCCTTTTTTTCCTTTCCTTTCAAGTTCCTGTTGATTCCCGATTGCATAATTTGTATCAGACACCATTTTCAGTTGCAGCTGTCGCTGAAGATGGAACAAGAGGCTCGAGCTACTCTCGACACGGATTTTCGAACAAAGGCCGATGAATGCCTCAGTCTGCTCAACAGCCTAGAAATGTTCGTTGGTGTTGTTGATTCTCCATATTGAATTGGAAACCGGGACTATGTGACTACAAAATATCGGGGATCCGTTTCCAAGCCCAAGAAGTAAACTATTACGAAGTGGAAATTCTGAACTTTGAGACATGTGGCGTTACATGCGTTTTAAGTTAGGTGGGTACGTTGTTTTACGACTAAGCAGAAAAATGATGAGTCTCGAACATTCAGAATAGGCTCGCGGGTGATAATGATGACTCCAACCTTCGTCAAAAATGTTATGAGGCACCTGCTTCACCATATCTATGCTCATTTGATGCTTCCTAAACTTGCGCCGTATGGACAAAATTTAGGCTTTCGATGAGCTCGAAGGAGAAAAATGAAGAGCACCGATTAGCAATGGAAAAATTACGATCAGAACTCAATGAGAACAACGATGAGCTCAAGAAAAGTCATGAAACGGTGAGATTTACTGATTTTTTGATTGGCCATCAGGGAAAGTCTAATTCGACTATTTGAACATTTATCGCTTTGCAAATATTATTTGACTCGAATAACGATAAAAAGAGCAACATCGCCTACAGTCTTATTATTCGTTTGTTAATTCGATTGCTTATTTGTTTATTTATTTTTCTTATTTGTTATTCGCTGATTTGCTTATCTGCTTATTTATTTAATTATCTTATGTATGCGTACCTGCGCTTGTATAGACTCCAAAAATTTCAGCATACATAAAAAACTAAATAGTCTTTATTTCTTAATTATTTGATCAGCTTATCAAACAAGTAATCAATAGATTATTGATGAATCCAAAACAAAGTAAGTACATAGAATTTACATTGATTTCGAAGAGTGTGCACGAATGAAATACCAGGCCTGACCGTGAAAAACTACCATCTTTTCCAGATATCCCAACTAACCGCAGCTCGATTGGCTGCAGAAGAAATCAGCGCCAGCCTCCAAGAAACGGTCTCGTCGTTATCCGATCAACTAAAACAAGTCATTACAGAGAGTAAATATATGTCATTAGGTCGTTCCCGATCATCTGCTGGCTAATGCAGTGGAAGCTGTCCGGAAGAATTCTCTTCACGGATTTTCATTGCTCACTTTTCGACACTTCGCACCCTACGCACAAAGGTGGTGTAGTGGGAGTGGCGGATTTGCTACGTGCTACAGGTAGGATCCCAATTACAGATGATCAAGCCTTTAATCCCTTTCTCGCTCCCCTCAAACCTATTTGGTACAGTCTATGAGAAATAAAGCATTTTAAGCGGTGCATCGGCTGGTCTTCCGCGTCATCGCGAATAGTGCAAAGAAAACCCTTCAAGAAGGGTAAGGCCATCTCGTGCAGGTCGCTCTTTATTTTGATTTTTTTTGATTGTAAGAGCCATTTTCGGCCGCAGTGTTCGCTGTGCGAAGTTTTACAAGGATGTTGGGTTATAAACACTCTCACCCTAAGCGGGACTCGAAGCCGTAACTCGAACCCGCACCTCTTGCACCTCTCACAACCCTGAAAGCGAGAAGTGCGAGTTCGAGTTACGCCTGGGGCGAAAGTTTTTTTATAATCACCCTTTGATCAATGAGGAAGGACGCATTCCTCGCATGCACAACGAAATTATTGCTATCAAGCGCAAATTGTTAAAGCGTTTTGCACTGATAGTTTGCGCCATTCTTCACCACTGATAAGGATTTAAAGCCAGAAACTGATTTCGAAATAGTTCCAAAAAAGACATCAGTGATTGAGAAAACAACCAAGTGCTAAGTGCTAAGAGAGCCGAGCAAAATAATACATGTGTAGTTCTCAAAAACCCACAAAAAAGCAGGAAAAAAATCAAGCATCTCACACTCTTTATGGTCTCCTCCTTCTCCTCAGCGATAGCTTCCGATTCATCGATTCTTCCAGCCAGGTCACCGATATCGTCAAGAAGCCTTCTGATTTCATCTTTACTGCTGAAAACTCTCAGATGTTAATGCTTTTTATCACTCATTTAATGCATAGCTCTAATAATAACTGTTAGGGCTTCAATGAAAGAAACATATAATTTCTAAATAGGCACAAAATCTTAAGAAACATAAGGATTGAATGACGATTTACCCAAAACACTGTAAAACTCTTTATAAGAATGTGAAATTTCGGGAAGCAATTCCTCATCTAACTGATGTACGCTAACCAGTGGGCGGATCGCTTTTGGGGGCGGAGTGCTTTCGAAGTCCTGCTCAGCAACCAGCACCTTTCGTCGTGAAAGCGCTACACCTCGCTTCCCTGGCAGCCAAGTAACTGATTCGTGTGGTGCATATGCTTCCCCGATGCGCTCCCTCTTTATCGTAATCGCTGCCTTTAATCTTTCCTATTCTAGGTATGCTTCTTCACCAACTCGGGATCCGAAGCGAACGATCTCGCGCTGACCTTGGCCAGGGTTCATACAGGACGATTTGATGTGCTTTCTATGCGTAACGGATATCACGGAATGACACAAGCCGTCATTGGAGCGACAAATATCGGTAGGTTTTCACAACTGCATTAAACGATCAACTACGTGGCCATATTGAGGTGGCACTTTATCGATTTTTGTCCATCATAATATGAAGGCATTAGCTAAGGATCAGCACATCCGAACGGTTGGGTTTGTAGGCTACTATGGAAGCCGACAAAGACCCAAACTCAGGGCTGAAATCTGGAGGGTAAAACCCAGAGCTTTCATTCTTCCAGAAATCCTTCCCAATTTAGCGGTTCTGGATTGAAAGGCAGAAGGAGTTTGAGAAAACTCATATAATAGACCCGGGTTCAGACGCCGCTGAGGTGTGATTTCCAAGAGGAAAACCGCGGACGGGTTTGGAAGGATTTTTATGAGATTTTCCTCATGAACTGCATGAACTAGTTGTACGACACCAATGGGAGGAGTAACTGTAAAGACTCCTGCTTGAAGAGATTCATACTTTTTCTCTATAGCGCAACGTCAGAAGGCCAGTTAGGGACAAGCGATAGAAAGACAGGAGAATAAGGCTTTCAAACGCCGATTAGTTCTTGTTGAGATGCGCTTCCATTTGAGATCACTGAATCTGACAGCCTTTTGGAAGGAACTGTGGGGCTATCCGACTTATGAGATTGTATTTTTATCTTCCAAGGTGAGCATGATCCAATTGAGCAGCTTCAGAGAGATGAAAAAGTTTAGTTGGCGTGGACGAGATCTCGATCCGAAATGTGATCCTCGCCATGGGTGTCCCCCAAGAGGCCCATCGCGCGGCGAAGGAAGAGACGCAGACGCGGCAAAGGACGAGTCGCAGCGCATACTGTAGCGGTTAGGCGTCAGGTTAAATAGAGTGTACCATACTACGTCTCATATCGCACAGCACGCGCTGCGACTCGTCCTTTGCCGCATCTGCGTCTCTTCCTTCGCCGCGCGATGGGCCTCTTGGGGGACACCCCAAGGCCATGTGTACACTAGTCCGCGCCACTGTCGCCACGTGTCGCACAATTTGAAAAAAAAAAGCCCGCGCGACAAATAACAGTGTTACTTATACTGACAATTGCAGGAACCTGGAAACAGCCGATGCCGTCCGGTTTCGGTGTTTTGAAGGCGATGGCAGCCGATCCATATTCAGGACCATGGGGAGGAAAGAAGTGCCGCGACTCGCCAATTCAGACGAAGCGCGACTGCTCATGCAAGGATGGCGAGTGCAAAGCCACAGATAAGTGCGTTAGTTGAGGAATATTCACGCCAGTCTTACTTTGGAATAGGGTCTATTCCCAGTTAGGGGGCATCATGATGCAGTTTTCCAGAAAGCTAGGGTAACTCCGAGCCAGGGGGAGTGTAGCCAGCCTAAGGGGTGGGGGGGGGGGGCAGTCACTTGACATGCGTGAAAAGCTGGAATGTTCGAGTTCACCGAGACCCATGATGCCCACTAACTCTAATAGACCCCGGAATAGTGTAGGGATGTTTTACTGGGACAATTCAAGA